AACACCTTACAATAACTATAAAATTATTCATCAATAAGGGCATTTTTGAAAAAAAAGATAATAATTATACCTTGAAAAACTAAAAAATACCTTATATTTTTTAATATCCAACTTATCAAAAATGTCTTAAATTTTTTAATGAAGGGAGTCTAATTTATGTTAATTTAAGATCATATCACATAAATTCTTGTTTATTAAAACACCCCCAATATGAGATTTAAAAAACCAAAAACCCAAGATGAACAGAAGAGCACGAGGACAAGGTGCAGTTGGGGACAGAAGAAAACTGTAAACTCTACTTGTATAGACTATAGTGACAATTGAGTCTCCTGAGTCATGTGAAGGACTAAGAGATTGCCAATTTGTCATAGACTCAACATCTTCATAGTTATTCTTCCACCACTATATGATGTAAGCAGTCTATAAGTTGGGAAAAAAAAAAAATCAAACCTAATAACGCGTACTCCTCCTATCCTTTTTATAAATTATTTTTATCAACCTCATCAATATCAATGCAAAAATAATACAAGGAATAAAAGTATGTAGAATTTTAAATATATCCCTATATAATAAATTCAAAAAATAATGTTATGTTACTGTTTCTTTTTTGTAAAGGGTAATTTTAGAAATAATTTTTAAATATTACCTAAAAAGACGCACTGTAACTTATAAATGAGATCAAAAAAATCTTCTAAAATGTGATTTATAAATGAGACCGGAGGGAGTATGCCCATATTCTTTTCTCACCCTAATTACACCCATTACTGCAGAAATATTTGGGCTTGTTTGGTTTCTGTTTTTATTTTTTATTTTTAAAAAATGTTTTGTAACACAATTTTAAAATTGTTTTTAAAACAAAATAAAATAAAAATTTGTTTGGTTATGTTATGTCAATTAAAAAATAATTTTATAATTGAAAAAATAATTGATAGTAATGATTATAAAAATTTAATAGTAAATATTAACAATAGAAATTGGTCAAGGCATAATTTTTAATAATCAAATGTAGTGTATTTTAAAATAAAAAATAAAAAAAAATAATTTAAAGTTGTTTCTATTTTTTTATTTTTAAAAATAAAAATAAAAACAGTTTGGAAAACAACTAAATAAAAAAAACTTATCCAAACAAATTTTTAAATTTTTCTGTTTTAAAAAAAAACAGTTTTTAAAAACAAAAAAAACAAACAGCCCCTTTGTTACTCGTTTTGGCATGTTTTGTAGACTTGCAATATAGATTATATAACAGAAATTTTAAATCCACCTGACAATGTTATATATGCAAAAAAACTTGTATTGTGCTGTATGCTTTCTAAAATTTAAGACAATAACTATTGATTTAATTCCATAAATTATCTTTAATTTGAAAACTTTAATTATTTTAGAGCCCAATATGTATTGGGCCAAAGGCCCAACTCACTGGAGGTTTCTGTTATGATTTGCTAGATCGATCAGACTTATAAGCCGAGCTAATATACCATTATGATCAGTTAATCAGAAGATTATACCGTTCAGATTCACTCATATCTATTGTTAAACCCTAAGTCTCGGATCATTATATTTTCAGGGGGAAAAAAATATTTTTCCCAGCTCAGCACTGTTTTATTTTTAGAACACCTTTTTGAAAGGCACATCTCTAGTGGGAATAAATTCTCCACTAGGAATGAATGAACTTCAATCTGGCCTTGTGTGTGCGCGCGCGCGCGTGTGGATCACAAGTTTTCCCGAGCAAACATGAATTATGAACGACAGAACGAGTGTGAAATAAATTTGTATTGTTTTGTTTTTTCTCATATCATGCGATAACTTGGCGCGTAAGAACGTCTCCTAAATAATAGAATGACAACCAAACTGATTGACAAAGAATGTAATAACAAATAGATGTTTTTTTTAATTGGGTGGAAGAAGTTTAGAAAAAAAATAGATGTTAACAATTTGGTATATTTTCCGTTGCATCTTGAGAGTCTAAGGTGATTATTTTTTCTTTTGCATGACCTGTTGACTAATCTTTGCATGGTTAATTGTGTTACGTTTGTGCTTTACTAATGCATTGCTTGTTTCTTGACATTGGCGAAGTTAACGATGATACAATATGTTATAGGTGATTGTTGTAGATGAAACAAATGAAGCTCGAATGCAAGTTACATAGGAGATTAAATCAATATACAAATAGTTTGCTTGATATGCGATAACTTTGGTTTGTTAATATCTCAAAAGAATAAAATTAATAAATCCAAAAACAGAGAGTATATGCTATATGAACTCCAGAGGGATATAAAAAATGAGCTGCAAATATATTTGAGGTCTGTTCATGAAGAATCTGATAATTGATGATTGCCATATTTAAGAAAGTACAATTTACACAATGAGGAAAAGCTACGCGAATTTGATGATATTTTTTTTGGGTTAAAGGGGAAAATTGCCCTGAAACTTTTTTTCCAAGAGTACCTTGTAATGTCCACCTTAACATTATTAGGACAACACTCACACATCGTTGTGATAACTAGGATTAAATAAAATTCTCTAAATAAGTTACCACAATTTAAGGGTTTAAAGATAATTAGTTTAAAACATTGAGATCCCAAGAAAACATTTTTCTAAAATATTGTTTGAGCTTAAACTATAGTTAAAAATTAATTTAAAGTACGAAAGCATGAAAAACAAACCACATTAAAATTTGGCTAAAAACGCCATTCTTCTACAAATTCTGCTCCATCTACCGTGACGGATGGCACAGAGGGACAAGTCCCTCGAAGGCCTCTTGCACCACGGCCGCACCGTCTGTTATGACAGCAGATTGGTGTCATGACAGCCCTCCGAACTTTTGGAGGGTGCCATTTGTAACAGCCCTCTTGGGTCACCACTGCCTCTCCAGGGTCTTTTCCCAGGCGCTGGACAACACACATGTCACCACATGATTGCCGGCTTTCCCACTGGTGGTACAGTGGTTATTCCTCACCCCACCCTCACGGGGGTCTTTTGGAACCTCCCCAGACTCGAACCTCCAACCTCTACCACCTTAACGAAGTTGAGGCGCAGTCTGGTACCATTGAGTCACTTAATGGGGACTCGGGCGGGATGGTTGGCCGTTGTCGACTCCACTCCTGTTGGCTCTCGGGTGCGAGTGGGTCCGAAGAGTGCAGGACTCGGGTGGCCACTCAGCAAGTAAGCTGATGTGTTTGTGACAGTACTGTACGTACGATCCTTGGGCGAAGTCGTTCTCCCCTAGCACGAGGGCGTGCTAGATTGGGTGTGGGAGAATGTCACGGATGATATTTCCGTGACCGTGTAAAGACCAAGATAATGAACGGTCCGCTGGTTAGCCTCGCACAATATAGGTAAAGGGGGCGACATTAGCATTGGGGGTGTTCTGCCTCAGTCTTCGGACTGTGTGCACAACTGGTCGGGGGCTAGTGCCGCCTCCCTGATGAGCCCATGGCAGGGCGAAACCAGTGTGATCCGTACGTGGTAAGGCTTGTCCTGAGGATTATGGGGTCCTCCAGGACGCCGCACGGGCGCCGTGTGCTGCGCCAGACTCTCAGCCCGTGACAGAGTGGTATCAGAGCAGGACGTACCTTACTGTCGTGTGCGCGTGGGGTCCCACGTTGGGACTGGTCGGCCTCGGCACCGCTCCAGAAAGGCCTCCGAGCAGGTGGGTCCAAAAGTGGGGACTCGGGCGGGATGGTTGGCCGTTGTCGACTCCACTCCTGTTGGCTCGCGGGTGCGAGTGGGTCCGAAGAGTGCAGGACTCGGGTGGCCACTCAGCAAGTAAGCTGATGTGTTTGTGACAGTACTGTACGTACGATCCTTGGGCGGAGTCGTTCTCCCCTAGCACGAGGGCGTGCTAGATTGGGTGTGGGAGAATGTCACGGATGATATTTCCGTGACCGTGTAAAGACCAAGATAATGAACGGTCCGCTGGTTAGCCTCGCACAATATGGGTAAAGGGGGCGACATTAGCATTGGGGGTGTTCTGCCTCAGTCTTCGGACTGTGTGCACAACTGGTCGGGGGCTAGTGCCGCCTCCCTGATGAGCCCATGGCAGGGCGAAACCAGTGTGATCCGTACGTGGTAAGGCTTGTCCTGAGGATTATGGGGTCCTCCAGGACGCCGCACGGGCGCCGTGTGCTGCGCCAGACTCTCAGCCCGTGACAGAGTGCTCATATGTAACAGTACGGAGCCACCCCTTGGGCCTCGACTCGGTACTGGACTCTGGCCCATCACTGGACCAAAGCCGACTTTCCCACAGGTGGTACTGTGGTTATTCCTCACCACTGCCTCTCCAGGGTCTTTTGGAACCTCCCTAGACTCGAACCTCCAACCTCTACCACCTTAACAAAGTTGAGGCTAAGTCTGGTACCATTGAGTCACTTGATTCAATGGTACCAGACTTAGCCTCAACTTTGTTAAGGTGGTAGAGGTTCGAGGTTCGAGTCTAGGGAGGTTCCAAAAGACCCTGGAGAGGCAGTGGTGAGGAATAACCACAGTACCACCAGTGGGAAAGTCGGCTTTGGTCCAGTGATGGGCCAGAGTCCAGTACCGAGTCGAGGCCCAAGGGGTGGCTCCGTACTGTTACATAAAAGGCGCCTTTTATGTAACAGTACGGAGCCACCCCTTGGGCCTCGACTCGGTACTGGACTCTGGCCCATCACTGGACCAAAGCCGACTTTCCCACAGGTGGTACTGTGGTTATTCCTCACCACTGTCTCTCCAGGGTCTTTTGGAACCTCCCTAGACTCGAACCTCCAACCTCTACCACCTTAACAAAGTTGAGGCTAAGTCTGGTACCATTGAATCAAGTGACTCAATGGTACCAGACTTAGCCTCAACTTTGTTAAGGTGGTAGAGGTTGGAGGTATATGTAACACCCTCAAATTTACAAACCGATTTTTCGCAAATTATTAATTCAAGAAATCATTTTTTTTTCATTGAACCCTTATCATACCCTTATCATGGTAGAAAAATTTCTACCATGATACATCCAAGACAATATACCACAGGTCTTAAAATATCTCAAAAAGCAATTAGAACCATGAGGGACAGACATGATCCTCATAGCATGTTATTTAAATCAGGTCATGAATCAAGAGGGACAGATATAATCCTCTTGGTCATATAAATACTTTTAATAAAAAGGATTAGAGTTTACATGCTTCACAAAGAAGATATGTCCTAAGTTGGCACAAGATACATTGTATAATCCAAAATAAGAGGCAACGTAAAAGATGGTGTCTCATACACCATAATTACACCTCTGGTGCTTTCTCGGCCGGACTCGCTCCTGTAAAAATATTAACCACGGGGAATGAGACTTAAAAGTCCCAGTAACCAAAAATTAATATGTAATGATGCATGCGGATGTAACTAATCATGCGATTGCTAAGTGGGCACACAAAACATTTAACCGAACAATATTTTCAAACAAACCGAACAAGTATTTAATTGCATGACTGCACCTTATATCCTCCTTTCACCATGCTCGGACGCCAAATCACCCGGCCAAAGGTGAGTTGGACCAAGCGACACGCCACTCATTGGGTCCAATGAGGGCTTACCACGTGGTAATAATTAACCGAACAGAAATTCCCATTAACACCATACATTAAAATACCCTGACAAGTCATGCATCATTCAAATATCCAAACAGGAATATATCCGAACAATAATATCTCATCATGATAAATAAAAAAATAAAATTTTAACCCACTTGGCAATAATTTCAAACAAGTATATACAGTATTTATTTTCAATAATTCATAATTTTTCCAAACAACAAAACAACACATAACCATTCACAAACACACTCATCACAACACATTAATAATGGTTACCTTGTGTCTTGAATAACAAGTTCCCCTTCACAACTCCTTTTCACCACTATCTTTGTCAATATAATCTACATAATTATTTCACAATACTATATATTAATTTTATATTAAAATAAATAACTCTAATTTAAAGAGTTAGAAAGTCTTAAATCTATAGTCCATATTAACACTAATTTAAGATTTATGCCTCATTTAACTTCCCAAATTCTTTTCTAAAATTCTCGTACCCTAATGAACTATTTTTTTTTATCCTCAATTCACTTCTAGTATCACAATTTCATCCTTCTACATTCTAAAAATTCATCCAAAAATAAATTAAAAATTTTAGAATTATCCTGAAGTCTCAAATCACCTTTCTATAACCTCAAAAATACCTATTCATACTTAAATAAATATTTAATAATCATAGGTTTATCCCTACGTCTCAGATTCCACATAAATTCAACCATATAGATCTAGATTTTAACTCAAAATTCTTAAACATGAGTTTCAACCTTAAAAAAATATTCTATAATATTTTTTATATCCCTAAGAATTTTAACCTATATTTTTAATCCATCATATCATCAGATTAACTATCCTATAGAAAAATCCTAATCAAAATATTTACTCTATCCTACAAAATAATCATATCACTAGAAAGCTAATATTATTTAGAAAATAACTATAAAATTAATTTTGTAATTAAATAAATTTTTAAATGCTAATCTAAACAGGAAAGTTAGAACATACCTGAAGAAAAAGAAAATAATCCCCCCTTGCGAGAAAACGCCGAGCAACGTGAGAGGAAGAGAGAAAAATAATATAAAAATGGGATTGTGAGTCCCAAAATTATATTAAAAAAAACTATAGGTTTGAATTTAATTATTCAAACCTTTGGGCCAAAAGTTGCAATTTTCTCTAAATTGCATCTTAGCCTCTCATGCTTCCTAATGTACACACCCCCTCCTTTTTATACATGAAGGCACCTCTTCTCTTTCCTCATCTAACCAATGTGGGACTTAGAAACAATAACCTTCCACCCCCTTTTTTTTTTGTTCCTTCTACTTTCTCTCTTTTTTTTTTCAACACATACATAAAAAAAATTATTTATGTATTATATCTTAACTAAATATTGCTTATGTGGTTTTAAATTTAAATTTTTAAATTTATAATTAAATACCTAACCATAATATTATTTCTAAATAACCTCAAATAATATAAATTCCTATTATTATCATTTTTTTTTCTCAAAACCTAAATTCCACAATTTCTTTATTATATAAAAAATTAGGATGTTACAATTCTCCCCTCCTTTTAGAAATTTTGTCCTCAAAATTTAATAGATAAGCATAAAAACTATGTACCTAAGCAAATAAATGTGGATAATCTCGCCTCATACTCTCCTCGGTTTCCCAAGTAGCATCACCTAGGGCTCCACCCTTCCAAATCACCTTCACGAGTCGGATGGTCTTATTGCGCAGTTGTTTGTCCTTAAAGTCCTCAATTCGCTCCAGTTCGGATCTAAAGGTCAAATTCTCCCTCAATTCTACTTCTTCAGGTTCAATAACATGGGAGGGATCCGGGTTGTACTTCTTCAACTGTGATACGTGGAACACATTATGGATACCTGCAATCTGTGGAGGTAATGCAACTCTATATGCAGTAGATCCAATTCGCTCCAAGATCTCATACAGTAGGATGTTGGGAAGGGTTCTTCATATTTGAGCCCTGGTTGTCCCCACAAAACTTTGCAATGTGACCGGGTTTCCCACAAATGTAACAGACCCAGCACTGTCCGAAATGACGACGCCCGCATTGAGTGCACTGTTGAGAGCTCGCTGTACTCGGGGCAGGGGTAGATACTGTTGGGCTCCTCTGTGACCCGTGATAACTACTATGATAGCTCCTCTGTCCTTGGCCCCTTTGAGATGGACCCTTCTGCCTTCCTTGGTTCCATGAGCTACTCGAACCCTGATGGTTTTTCTTCATAATGCCTCCGGTGGGTCGAGGGTAGGTTGGGGGTCTACTATATGAATAACCCCTCTTCTCTCTCTCAACCTCCTTCTTACTGCGAGCTACTACTTGTAGTTTTATGCACATTTCATCATAATCTCGGATATCTAGATGAGCCAATTGTTCCCTCAATTCTGGTCTAGCCTTCTCCAATAAGCGCTTAGCCTTCCATTCGGAATCATCCCTATACTGCAGGTACGTGGAGTATCTAGATAACTCCTGAAACTTAGCAATGAATGTGTCCTCATCGAGGTTCCCTTGCTTAAAGGCATGGAATTCCGCTTCCTTCTCAGACCTTAACTCTGATGGAAAGTAATGCCTGAATAATTTTTCCTTGAATTCCTCCCAGGTGAGTGTAGAATCATCCCTGGGCCCTGCTGTCTCCCACCAATCTCTTGCTCCTTTCACTAGGAGCACTAATGCTACTTGTACTTTTTGATTGCTGGTGCATGTGACTACTCGAAAGATGGATTCGAGTCTCTTCACCCATTCCTCTACCACGGATGGTTTAAGGTTACCATCAAACGTAGGAGGGTTAAACTTCCTAACAGTTTCCCACACATCAGTAATGGTCAGTAGGGCTCTCTGTTCCTCCTGCCTAATTTCTTTCCTTCTAGACTCATGATCTCTCAGAGTGGCAGGATGTGAGGAACTGCCTTCCCCCACATGACTCTCAACATGAGCCCTATCTCCATTTTCAGTTACCTTTTGCCTCTTTAGCTCCGTCAACTCTTGTTCGTATCCTTGAACCTTGTCTGTTAATGTTTTTACAAGCATTCTTAATTCCGCCAAGTCAGGCTCCTCATTTGGCAGTGGCGGTGGCAGGTGCTCATGTTGGAATCCTGAGTTACCACGAGTAACAGGCATTTTCTCTCCCCTCCTAAAGGATACAAGATATAAATAATAAAATTAGCCTAGCTATATCATGGCCATACAATGAGAAGCACCATAACAATGTATATTGCCAACCGACTATATGCTCTGATACCAATATGTAACACCCTCAAATTTACAAACCGATTTTTCGCAAATTATTAATTCAAGAAATCATTTTTTTTTTCATTGAACCCTTATCATACCCTTATCATGGTAGAAAAATTTCTACCATGATACATCCAAGACAATATACCACAGGTCTTAAAATATCTCAAAAAGCAATTAGAACCATGAGGGACAGACATGATCCTCATAGCATGTTATTTAAATCAGGTCATGAATCAAGAGGGACAGATATAATCCTCTTGGTCATATAAATACTTTTAATAAAAAGGATTAGAGTTTACATGCTTCACAAAGAAGATATGTCCTAAGTTGGCACAAGAGGATCCGGGTTGTACTTCTTCAACTGTGATACGTGAAATACATTATGGATACCTGCAATCTGTGGAGGCAATGCAACTCTATATGCAGCAGGTCCAATTCGCTCCAAGATCTCATACGGGCCCATAAATCTAGGTGTCAACTTCTTTGCCTTAATGGATCTACCAATGCCTGTCATCGGAGAAACCTTCAAAAATACATGATCTCCTACTTGAAACTCTAACGGTCGTCTTCTCTTATCAGCATAGCTCTTCTGTCGACTCTGAGCTGTTAGCAATTTTTGCTTAATCATTGCAATCTTCTGGGTGGTCTGCTCTACAATTTCTGGACCAATGATACTCCTCTCACTTAATTCTGTCCAACACAAAGGCGATCTACACTTCCTGCCATACAAGGCCTCATAAGGCGCCATCCCAATACTAGAATGATAGCTGTTATTATAGGCAAATTCAGCTAATGGCAGATGATTATCCCAACTACCTGGTAGTTCAATGGCACAAGCTCTCAACATGTCCTCCAAAGTCTGGATCGTCCTCTCTGTTTGTCCATCTGTTTGGGGGTGGTATGCGGTGCTAAAACTCAGTCTGGTACCCATAGCCTTTTGTAGCGCACCCTAAAAGTTTGAAGTGAACCTTGGGTCACGATCTGACACAATTCTAGAGGGTATACCATGAAGTCTAACTATCTCCTTAATGTATATCTCAGCAAATTTCTCTAATGTAGAGGTAAACTTGATTGCCAAAAAGTGAGCCGATTTGGTGAGTCGGTCTACTATCACCCAAATAGCATCCTTACTCGAGGGTGTTCTTGGCAGTCCAGTGATGAAATCCATGGAAATATCATCCCATTTCCACTTTGGAATATCTAACGGTTGCAGTGTTCCAGCTGGCTTCTGATGTTCTATCTTTATCTTCTGACACGTTAAACATCTAGAAACAAATTCAGTTACATCTTTCTTCATTCCTGGCCACCACCAACCTCGCTTTAAATCATGGTACATTTTAGTTATACCGGGATGAATTGTATATTTGCTCCTATGAGCCTCTTCTAAAAGGATATTCCTCAATCTTGGATCATTAGGTACACAAACTCTACCTTTATATCTCATCACTGTGTCCTCAGAGATGGTAAAATTTGGGGCCTTACCTGCCACTATCTCCTTCCTTATATTCTTCAAGTAGTCATCACTCTGCTGTGAGACTCTGAGATCTTCCCAAAATTTGCTCTCAAAGTCTACTACCTGGAGCGCGGCCATTTGATGTTCAATCACATCCACTGGAACATCATGAAAACTGTTCCATAAATGATATTCATGAACCATCAAATGTGCAGCATGAATAGTCTTCCTACTTAAGGCGTCAGCTACCACGTTAGCCTTACCCGGATGGTAATGTAATTCAAAGTCATAATCCTTCAAAAATTCCATCCATCGCCGCTGCCTCATATTAAGCTCTTTCTGATCAAATAAATACTTCAGGCTCTTATGGTCACTGAAGATTTGAAACTTAGATCCATACAAGTAGTGTCTCCATATCTTCAGAGCAAACACAACTGCAGCCAACTCCAAGTCATGTGTAGGGTAATTTTCCTCGTGTGGCCTCAACTGTCTAGAGGAATAGGCAACTACTCGGTCATCTTGCATCAAAACACATCCTAAACCCTTTAAAGAAGCATCAGTGTACAGAGTGTACGGCACCACAGGGTTAGGAATAGTCAATACTGGAGTAGTGGTTAACCTCTTTTTCAATTCTTGGAAAGCAGCTTCACATTTATTAGTCCAAATAAATGGGGCATCCTTCTTAGTCAGCTTAGTTAAGGGCATCGCAATTTGCGAAAATCCCTTAATAAAGCGACGATAATAACCTGCTAAACCTAAAAAGCTTCGTATCTCTGTAACAGATTTTGGCTGTTCCCACTTCATCACTGCATCAATCTTGCTAGGATCCACCGCAACTCCGTCTCTGGACACAACATGGCCTAAAAACTTTACTTCTTGGAGCCAAAATTCACACTTGTTTAATTTGGCATAAAGCTTATGTTCCCTCAAAACTTGCAAGACGATTCTTAAATGTTCACCATGAGCCTCCTCATCCTTTGAATAAATAAGAATGTCATCAATAAACACTACTACAAACTTATCTAAATAGGATCAAAAGATCCTATTCATGTAATTCATGAATACCGCAGGAGCATTCGTAAGTCCAAACGGCATCACCATGAATTCATAATGCCCATATCTTGTCCGAAATGCTGTCTTAGGTATATCCTCTGCTCTTACTCTCAATTGGTGGTACCCTGACCTTAAGTCAATCTTTGAGAAAACTGCGGATCCCACAAGCTGATCCAGCAAATCATCGATTCTCGGAAGTGGATATTTGTTCTTGATGGTTACTTTGTTCAATTGTCTATAATCAATGCACAATCGGAGGCTTCCGTCCTTCTTCTTTACAAAAAGGACTGGAGATCCCCAAGGTGAAACACTCGGTCTGATGAAACCCTTCTCAAGTAGCTCTTCGATTTGCTTTTTCAGTTCCGCTAACTCTGAAGGGGACATCCGATAAGGAGCCTTAGAAATTGGCCCTGTACCGGGTACCAATTCAATTGAGAACTCTACCTCGCGCTTTGGGGGTAAACCGGAGACTTCGTCTGGAAATACATCCGCAAATTCTTTGACAATTGGGATATTCTTCACGCCTTCATCAATCTCAGCTTGGATAGAGAAGAAAACCATGTAGGCCTGGCAACCCTTCTTCATACATTTATCAACTTGCGCCGCCGACAAGAAAACATGATCTTGAGTCTCGACTGGGGTCACCGACAAAGAAGATAAAGACACACTCCTCTCTCTACAATCTAGGATAGCACCATTTGCAGCCATCCAATTCATTCCCACAATTACATCCATACCTCTCAGTGGTAGGATAATTAAGTCCATAGTTGTTTTCCTATTTTTAAACTCGACTACTAGGTTAAGGCATGCCTTAGCGGTCCTCACAGATTCTCCCGCAGGAGTAGACACATTCATATCAAAAGGTAAAATACACACAGGCAAATCAAGGTTCTTTACACAAGTTTCAGAAATAAAAGAGTGTGTAGCACCCGAATCAAATATTGCAACAATATCATGATGAAGGATTTTGATGTTACCTCTAATGGCATCTGGGGAGTTCATGATGTCCTGAGTAAGAGCAAACACACGACCAGAGACAGTAGGATGTTGGGAAGGGTTCTTCATATTTGAGCCCTGGTTGTCCCCACAAAACTTTGCAATGTGACCGGGTTTCCCACAAATGTAACAGACCCAGCACTGTCCGAAATGACGACGCCCGCATTGAGTGCACTGTTGAGAGCTCGCTGTACTCGGGGCAGGGGTAGATACTGTTGGGCTCCTCTGTGACCCGTGATAACTACTATGATAGCTCCTCTGTCCTTGGCCCCTTTGAAATGGACCCTTCTGCCTTCCTTGGTTCCATGAGCTACTCGAACCCTGATGGTTTTTCTTCATAATGCCTCCGGTGGGTCGAGGGTAGGTTGGGGGTCTACTATATGAATAACCCCTCTTCTCTCTCTCAACCTCCTTCTTACTGCGAGCTACTACTTGTAGTTTTATGCACATTTCATCATAATCTCGGATATCTAGATGAGCCAATTGTTCCCTCAATTCTGGTCTAGCCTTCTCCAATAAGCGCTTAGCCTTCCATTCGGAATCATCCCTATACTGCAGGTACGTGGAGTATCTAGATAACTCCTGAAACTTAGCAATGAATGTGTCCTCATCGAGGTTCCCTTGCTTAAAGGCATGGAATTCCGCTTCCTTCTCAGACCTTAACTCTGATGGAAAGTAATGCCTGAATAATTTTTCCTTGAATTCCTCCCAGGTGAGTGTAGAATCATCCCTGGGCCCTGCTGTCTCCCACCAATCTCTTGCTCCTTTCACTAGGAGCACTAATGCTACTTGTACTTTTTGATTGCTGGTGCATGTGACTACTCGAAAGATGGATTCGAGTCTCTTCACCCATTCCTCTACCACGGATGGTTTAAGGTTACCATCAAACGTAGGAGGGTTAAACTTCCTAACAGTTTCCCACACATCAGTAATGGTCGGTGGGGCTCTCTGTTCCTCCTGCCTAATTTCTTTCCTTCTAGACTCATGATCTCTCAGAGTGGCAGGATGTGAGGAACTGCCTTCCCCCACATGACTCTCAACATGAGCCCTATCTCCATTTTCAGTTACCTTTTGCCTCTTTAGCTCCGTCAACTCTTGTTCGTATCCTTGAACCTTGTCTGTTAATGTTTTTACAAGCATTCTTAATTCCGCCAAGTCAGGCTCCTCATTTGGCAGTGGCGGTGGCAGGTGCTCATGTTGGAATCCTGAGTTACCACGAGTAACAGGCATTTTCTCTCCCCTCCTAAAGGATACAAGATATAAATAATAAAATTAGCCTAGCTATATCATGGCCATACAATGAGAAGCACCATAACAATGTATATTGCCAACCGACTATATGCTCTGATACCAATATGTAACACCCTCAAATTTACAAACCGATTTTTCGCAAATTATTAATTCAAGAAATCATTTTTTTTTTCATTGAACCCTTATCATACCCTTATCATGGTAGAAAAATTTCTACCATGATACATCCAAGACAATATACCACAGGTCTTAAAATATCTCAAAAAGCAATTAGAACCATGAGGGACAGACATGATCCTCATAGCATGTTATTTAAATCAGGTCATGAATCAAGAGGGACAGACATAATCCTCTTGGTCATATAAATACTTTTAATAAAAAGGATTAGAGTTTACATGCTTTCACAAAGAAGATATGTCCTAAGTTGGCACAAGATACATTGTATAATCCAAAATAAGAGGCAACGTAAAAGATGGTGTCTCATACACCATAATTACACCTCTGGTGCTTTCTCGGCCGGACTCGCTCCTGTAAAAATATTAACCACGGGGAATGAGACTTAAAAGTCCCAGTAACCAAAAATTAATATGTAATGATGCATGCGGATGTAACTAATCATGCGATTGCTAAGTGGGCACACAAAACATTTAACCGAACAATATTTTCAAACAAACCGAACAAGTATTTAATTGCATGACTGCACCTTATATCCTCCTTTCACCATGCTCGGACGCCAAATCACCCGGCCAAAGGTGAGTTGGACCAAGCGACACGCCACTCATTGGGTCCAATGAGGGCTTACCACGTGGTAATAATTAACCGAACAGAAATTCCCATTAACACCATACATTAAAATACCCTGACAAGTCATGCATCATTCAAATATCCAAACAGGAATATATCCGAACAATAATATCTCATCATGATAAATAAAAAAATAAAATTTTAACCCACTTGGCAATAATTTCAAACAAGTATATACAGTATTTATTTTCAATAATTCATAATTTTTCCAAACAACAAAACAACACATAACCATTCACAAACACACTCATCACAACACATTAATAATGGTTACCTTGTGTCTTGAATAACAAGTTCCCCTTCACAACTCCTTTTTCACCACTATCTTTGTCAATATAATCTACATAATTATTTCACAATACTATATATTAATTTTACATTAAAATAAATAACTCTAATTTAAAGAGTTAGAAAGTCTTAAATCTATAGTCCATATTAACACTAATTTAAGATTTATGCCTCATTTAACTTCCCAAATTCTTTTCTAAAATTCTCGTACCCTAATGAACTATTTTTTTTTATCCTCAATTCACTTCTAGTATCACAATTTCATCCTTCTACATTCTAAAAATTCATCCAAAAATAAATTAAAAATTTTAGAATTATCCTGAAGCTCAAATCACCTTTCTATAACCTCAAAAATACCTATTCATACTTAAATAAATATTTAATAATCATAGGTTTATCCCTACGTCTCAGATTCCACATAAATTCAACCATATAGATCTAAATTTTAACTCAAAAATTCTTAAACATGAGTTTCAACCTTAAAAAATATTCTATAATATTTTTTATATCCCTAAGAATTTTAACCTATATTTTTAATCCATCATATCATCAGATTAACTATCCTATAGAAAAATCCTAATCAAAATATTTACTCTATCCTACAAAATAATCATATCACTAGAAAGCTAATATTATTTAGAAAATAACTATAAAATTAATTTTGTAATTAAATAAATTTTTAAATGCTAATCTAAACAGGAAAGTTAGAACATACCTGAAGAAAAAGAAAATAATCCCCCCTTGCGAGAAAACGCCGAGCAACGTGAGAGGAAGAGAGAAAAATAATATAAAAATGGGATTGTGAGTCCCAAAATTATATTAAAAAAAACTATAGGTTTGAATTTAATTATTCAAACCTTTGGGCCAAAAGTTGCAATTTTCTCTAAATTGCATCTTAGCCTCTCATGCTTCCTAATGTACACACCCCCTCCTTTTTATACATGAAGGCACCTCTTCTCTTTCCTCATCTAACCAATGTGGGACTTAGAAACAATAACCTTCCACCCCCTTTTTTTTGTTCCTTCTACTTCTCTCTTTTTTTTTTCAACACATACATAAAAAAAATTATTTATGTATTATATCTTAACTAAATATTGCTTATGTGGTTTTAAATTTAAATTTTTAAATTTATAATTAAATACTTAACCATAATATTATTTCTAAATAACCTCAAATAATATAAATTCCTATTATTATCATTTTTTTTTCTCAAAACCTAAATTCCACAATTTCTTTATTATATAAAAAATTAGGATGTTACACCATTTCACCATCCAATGTCTGATTTTAACAGTTTAAATATCCACACGAAGCTATTTGAGCCCTCTAGCTAATGGTACTAATTTTACATTTAAATAATCATTCATTTAAAAGATTGATACCCGAACCCAAAATGGTTTGTTTTCACTTTAAAAAATACCTCAAGGGTGTCCAACTCACAATACCAAATGCCATTAGCCCTAAAGACACTTTAACCACCTCAAATAGACCGTACTCAACATAACAATTCATTCATATCACACAGTTAAGCAATCACGCTTAAAATGATCACCAAACCCTATTTAATAATAACACAATGGGGCGGATAAAATTCAACACACAAATCAATTGATTATTTTGGCACTCAAAACACTTGAAATATATATATATATCACATGTAAGTGTAACTTGGCCAAGCACACACACCCTTAATCCACAACATCAATCTTGGACCAAGATACGCATACTTATCACAAATTCATACAAGTGATATCCAAAATAATATCATGTTCCTATGTTGATAATATATAATGACAATATTCGTTACAAAACTAAAAAGAGAAAGGGAAGAGCTATACTACAATGCTCTTTACTCTTCAATTTTTTCCTTCCTTTCCTTTGCCCCTACCGAAGCCCTCACCTATAAAATATAATCACGGGGTGAGATAAACATCTCAGTAATAAAATAATTAACTACTAATAATTAACACACACAACCATGAGAGAGTAAAACTATGAAACTTCCAAAATATACATTTAGCATATCACCACATACTCTTTACATCAGTACAAATCTTTTACCACTAGTATAATCATTCTACCATCCGAGCCTCTATATCACCCCGACCAAAACCATAGTCCTGGATGAAGTGTACATTTACAATGATCCGAGCTTACCTTCAATGGTAGGATCACCTAGCCAAAGGTGTCCTATCCCACTTTCAGACTATAGTTTTTCCTTATTGCACACGAATTAGGGTGTCGTTACTCCAACACCGCATCATTGATGTTAAGGAGTGTTACTCTCCAACGCCGTATCCCACATAGATACTTTGAAAAAAATCTCCAACATCGTGCCTCACTAAACATTAAGAAGATACATGCCATATGGACTTTTACTACTCCTTTCTATGGGTGAACTCCCACCTCTAACATGACCATGGCCACACTCAACATATATATCACATAAACATTTTAAATTTCTCAACTCATTTATATATATCTTTCATCATACTCATCATTTGCAAAAATAGATTTTCATGCACAAAATTACATTTTGCAATATAAAAGGTTATCAAATCTCAAGTTCAAATCCTTATATCTACTCACAAACAGTTAAGCAATATAATCAATTAGTATAAATTATTCCATTATCTCAATCTTTTGTCACACACAAAAGGATTACCGTAGTTCAACGTAAGCTTCACACATTCTATATGCACAATATAGCTCGAGCAACGCTCAAGTTACACAACTAAGTGACAATAATCAATTATCACTCCAGATAACTCTAAATTCTTTAGGTTCTAAGTGTCTAAAATATCCAAAATTTCTTTTCTAATAACATCAACCATTTTCAAACACTCTAATCATCATATTAAACATCTTCACACACCAAATTCATTAACCAATGTCCTATATTGTCTCAAAATTCTCAAATTATACTTAGGGTTCGTTCAAACCCTTATAAAAAATTTTCAATCACTACAAAACCCATAAACTTAGGGTTAAAGACTTAATTTAACTCTCCAAGACCTTAAATAAACTAATATGTTTGGTTTAAACCCAAGAAAACCAAAATCAAAGCTCCTATTGCCCCACAAATCTAGCTTTTTGAACAATGAGAGAGAGGGAGAAGAAAGAAAAGCTTACCTAATGTATATGAAGCTTGAAAGACCTCTAAAATCATGTTGTAAGTAAGCCCCAGCAACCTCAAGTCTCTCTTCATCACTGCTCTTGAGTTCCTTCTTTCTCTCTTCTATTTTTTGAGTCTGATTCGCGATCTGATAAGTGCAAATCTTGCATGTGCATTACAGTGTGTCAACACACCTGCCGCAGTATATAGCACAGAACATCCCACAAAATTTTAAACTCCCTTCTGTACGATGGCCTACTTGAACATCGATCTAGCCCTCTTTTAAGGTTGTCCAAGGATTCAAACACCATATTAGTCTCCCGTAATCCTCACTAAATCAATAATTTACTTAAATTGACTAAATTAACCTTGAACACACTGATAATTACAAATAAGGAATCTTAGGATGTTACACGCCAGGCACCTTAAACCTTTTTGGGCACATTTTTGCCCCGAATTTTTAAAAAGAGAGTATTTTTGCCCCCATTAAAAATTATGAATGTTGATTGTTAATTGAAATTTGACTAAGAATTAAATAGCATATTTGCCTTGAAACTTTTTCTTCAAGGATGCTAGGTACCCTAAACTTTTGTTTGGAGCTTGTTTACCCTGACAGTTTCAAAAAGAGAGTAATTTTGCTCTATCGTCTTCTTCTTCATCATCATCCTCCTCCTCTTCCTCCTGCTCCTTTTTCACTAGCAAGCTCCCACATTACCATAAATTAGAGTCCAAATGCGAAGTTGAAAAAAATAAGTGTATGAGATTTGTGAGTCTCACAAGAAGTCTCACTTTTGGCTCAACACTTTCACCCCCACAAATGATTGCTCAAGCCCACAACATTGTCGCTTTGTCCATTAAGGGAAAATTCACCATTTTTAACTTCCCCTAGATTGCTTTTGTTCTCCCTCGACAATTGCCACATGCTCCTCGCGTAACATCCAAGCTACTACTTTCGCTATCACCACCATGGTCAGTTTTGATATTGTGAAGCCCTCAAAAGAGTCTGAGTTAAGGTCAAAGTCCACAGAGTCATCATATTTGAGTGAGATAATAGAAGAAGAGAGCTTCCACACGGTTGAGTTCATATGGATTGACTCAACAGATAGTTGATTGTTTCTAGGTACAGGTATGGGTTCAAATGATTTAAAATTGCTTGCTATTCATGGGTTGTTTCTTGCTGTTATTATTGCTGTTAATAGAGGTGTTCTTATTATCTAGGTGGTTTTTTATTTTTAAATTTCGCATGGCTACATATGGCAATTAAAGTTAAAGTAACAGTCAATATTAACGGCAAGGTAAAATTACTTTCTTTTTGAAATTTCTAGGATAAACAAGCTCCAAACAAAAGTTTAGGGTACCCAGTGTCCCTAAAGAAAAAGTTTCAAAGCAAATATGCTATTTAACTCTTGGTCAAACTTCAATTAATAGTCAACGTTCATAATTTCTACCAGTGAGGGAAAATGCTCTCTTTTTGAAATGTTTGAGGCAAAAAATGCTTCAAAAAAAGTTTAGGGTATCAGGTGTCCCTTAAAAAAAATTTCATGACAGTTTTTTCTATTAACCTTATTTTTTTCCCACGCATGCTCTCTTGAATGATTGAGGATATCATAAAATTATTTTTTTAAAATCCCAATTATAACTTTTGTCAGAAACCTGCATCGCATGGCCAAAATGATGGGTTTAGATAGCATCCCAAAAAGGGAAAAAAAATCAACTAAGTTAAGAAGTGCAAAATGGAGCATATAAACGAATTTAACACTATATCATAATTCAGAATCTTAAAATAATAAATTTAAATATCTTATTTATAATTAAAATTTTTAAATTTATAACTATCTAATTAATACTTAAAACTGAAATTTCAAAAAAAATTATTAAGAATCTAACTATTATAAATTCATTATTTTATAACTTGAATGTCATCCTCCGAACAAAAAAAAAAAAACAAGAAAAAGGTGAAGGAACAAACAAGGAACTCTTCTTTTCCTGAAGCTCTGCGGGCAACCTCTACTATTAGGGTTTCTTTCTTTTTTCTCATTTTTTCCCCTTATTTTTACACTAAGTAAAAATTTTCAAATTAAAACTTTAAAATTTGGGCCATTCTCCGCGTAGCAGTAAAGCCCAATAAGAACTACTATGGATCATTTGAATGTCTGGCGTGCGTTCACAATTTGTTCTATAATTGCACCCACATAATCATTAGCCCTAATTTATACCCACGTTCAAGGCTGTTAAATTTGAGAGTTTAAATAAATTTATAACAAAAATATAAACTTAAAATATAAACTTAAATTATAAATTCGTAAGAGATTACTTTTATTAATAAATAGCCTTTAAAAATATATGATTAAATAATTAAAATATAAAATATGATTATAATTTAATTTAAATATATTTTAAATATATATCATTGAAATTAAATCCATTTAAATTTATAGATTATTATATTCAATAAAAAAAATTTCAAAATAGAACAACCTATTTTTCGTATTTTTTGCTTTCTTATTTATTTATATTAGTTTTTGTTTTCTTGATTTTTATTTTTCATTGAATAAGATCCAACCATTTTTATGAACTAAGTTCTAGATAATATATACCTATTTTGTTCAATGAGTTTATTAGTAAATTTACATAATTTTATAAGTTAAAAATATAAAAATGATAAACTCAAAAGGTTAACTTGTGAATTTAAGCAAGTTTCATTTAGTCTGAATTTATGAGCTAATTAATAATTTTGTGAATTAAAAATACAAAAATGATAAACTTGAAAAGTTAATT